TGAAAAAATCGGACACATGCCATAAAGCGGTTAGCGAAGCTAACCGCTTAAAAAAATCTTTCTATGTTGTATTGATGACCAAGACGTGTGCAAAATTATGATATTTACGACATAGGCCAAAGAACGTCGACAAGTGAAATCGACATGATCGAGAGGAGAAGAAGACGGGATCGCCCGTTTCAAAGCGACAGGAATGCCGAATGGCACTCCGTTAAAAGAGCCAACCGACAGAAATTTTAAAACATTTAAAAAATTGCCGATATCACAATTAGGCCTACAGGTACATTCTCGAAAGCGGTCCCCAAATATGCCAGCCAAGAGCGCCGAAGTGTGTTGACGACGTTCCAGTAACAGCGGAAAAAGTGAAAATGTAGGTTTACAATGCTTTCAAACTTATTGAAAATGGCAATTTTTATGCATTATAAATACAAAAGTTTCAAAATACATAGTATAATGTCACATCGCAAACTGAAACGTAGCATAAACATGTTACATACATGTACGGAACGTTAGGCCTGAGGGGTCTTTAGATGCGTGCAGACGACAGCAATCTTATTATCTTTTTTATTGCAACTTTAGCTCGTGGTATATGATAAATTTCCTTTGATATTGTAAATGCAGACTATCTATTTCAAATTTATAGACACACCGTAAGAAAATAATAAGATAATATCTATAGTTTTTAGCTGTTTACATTCTATAAGAAACTATGTCGCTTCATTCTATGGCGGCCTATGCGGGTTAAAAAATGGAATATTTCTAGAAATTATTTGATTCTAAACTACAGGCTTGGGTTCATAAAAACAAAGTCAGATAGACAAAATAATGATTTTACATTTTTTGAACAATGATACTACCAGTAATTATAATCTTTTTTTTCTAAAATATTTTTTCCAAGTAAGTCTTGTCACAAGAATCACAAATGAAGAACTTTTGAATAAAGCAGAGTCTTAGAACCACTAAAATCATATGGAGAAAACCATGCAAATCGGATTGAGAAAGTGGGACTGGATTTGACTAATCCCAGGGAAGCCACCATCCAACACCACAAACCAGGACCCAATCGGAACACGCAGGGCAAAGAAAGAGAAGACATCTTACAAACTATTATGAAGTTTTATGTGTTAATTGATTACTTTTTGCTCATAAAAAGCTTTTCTTAACAAAACTGCAATTATTACATGTACCTGAAATTATCACACTTTTCTTGAATATTTAGTGAATAAAAACATATACAGCACTTTCACGCCTAAATGCCTTGATTTATTTTCATTAAATGCTGAAAAGAAATAGGGGGTGGTGATATAAAAAATATCAAAACTTTCTTATATGTACACTAACCCCTACTTTTCATGCTACATGTATGAAAAGGAGCCATAATACCTAATGAAACTTTACAACAATTTTCTTAAAAAGTTTAATTGTAGAAATATGTTTTTCTTCGGTTTTTCGAGCAATTTTATAGGGGAAAATTTTGACACTGATAAACAACATTTTTGCGTACATGTTATTTAAAATTGGTATTTATTTGCTCATATTTTGCTTAAAAATCAACTTTGCAATACTTTCAAGTAAATCTAGCAAAATTAAGTTTAAATTGATTGTATTTATAAGTTAATGGGGTATTTTATGGTCTAATAGCATTTTTAATTAAATTTCCCATGGCATGCTCTATTTCGGCCTATGTTCGAAGGGCTGAATCTCTCTTAGATGAACACTAACATGCACTTTTCTTGTCTTTAAATTATTCCTTAGATATTACACTTTCAGAAAAATATAAGCATGTGGAAAGTTTAATGCACGTTTTTTTTCCGCGTATCATAAGAATACATCCTTAAAACCAATCGCATCATCTCGGGTCTTTCCGCCAGAGGTCGGAAAAACAACCTCGAATGTATTAACATCACCGGATGTTAAAAATTTATACATTTCCTGTTCATTCAAATAAGGACAGACTGCGTTAGAAGTCCCTTTTATAGTAAATTTTAGGTAATATCATTACATTGAATAAAGTTAAACTCCATATTCCACAGATAAAAAGTCTCCATGCATTTATTTCAAAGATCGTGAAAAGGGAGGGTTGTAATGGCGTCTACCATATACATTCGATGTTGTTTTTCCGCTAGTCGGAAAGGCCCGAGAATTTGCGATTGCCTTAACACTGAATAGTGCATGTTTTTGTACATCTCAAATTGTAAACGACGATTTACAATTGCCTCATTTAATTAATGATATCTGGCTTTCAGCATGTTAGTGCTTGGGGTTTTTTTTTATAGCGGGTCATTGCTAGAACACTTATGGTTAAATGTATTTTGTTGAGATTTATGTCAAACTGTATTTGTGTAAACGTGTTTATAATTACATGTATGGGATGTATATTATTTTCATGTAAAGACAGTTTCTGATCGGCCAACTGTTTTATGATGAAATATCTATACATGACTATGTACATTGTAATGCTAACAAAAAACTTGCCATTTTGGTTCGGACCCGACAAGCATGAGGACTCTAAGGGCCAGACGTTTATGTATATTCCAGTACTCTATGGCGGCTGCCACGATCAAACCTCCAACAAATAGCATGGCGGTGTCCTGCGAATTAGTTCTCTCGTTTACTTCGCTTTTGTAATATTGAATAAAATAAAAGTTCTAATCTATTAAGTCAATGTTCTTATAAAGCATTCAAAGTAAACGACAGTTTTATGGAACACTTTTGAAATGATATAAAAAAAATAAGACATAATATCAAAAAAATAAGCTGCAATTATTTTTTTATGATCTTGATTTTTGTCATAAAAGTACCTCAGTCACGCTGTACAATACCTACATTGAGATATTTGTTTGACACATCTTTGGCACTTAATAGTCCAACCATAGGAAACATGATGATTGGTAGCAATGACGTCACAGCTATTGGTAGAGCCTCTGTTATCCAATATATCGCCATTACAATAATACAGTAGGCACATTTTGCTTCCTAAAACATTAAATAAAATATCATTGAGCGAATATTTCCCAAAAGATTATCTATAAACCTCACCAAATAATTTCTCCTCAAGGTAAATCTTTATAATTTATGTGCATCATGTACAAAGCAAGGTTGTTACGCAGTCAAACATAGATTCTGCTCATCGATAGTTTATTGTCCTTTTAACTATGCATTCCCATTGTTTATACGGTGCATGAGAATGCTAGGTAATGAATATTTAAAATTCTTTGGGAAAGAAAATTACACATTCACATAAGGCGCACGTGTGTTTTCAACCTTTTGCATATTACTTTTTCCTCTATATAAAAAAATATATAAATAGAAGTCTTTAAAACTACACCAGATGAATGAATAGATGTTGAAGAATTAAAAAAGAATTGCTTGGAGAAACTCCATCAATATAAAGCATTTTAACAGAATTTTAGTTGGATCCGTAAGTGCTTGTTTTAAAAAGTACATGTAAGTGCAATCAAAAGAATGAACAATTCACATGATACACTTGTCAAACCTTTTCTAGTTTGAAACATGTGTGTCTTACTTATACGACCTGATTATAGAAAAGTTTTGACATTAACCTTTTATGTCCGCCCTTAAAGATTTGTTATTTCCATAAATACAAGTACGCATACCATCGGATTATTTATTCATTGTGGCGGCTTTTGTTTTACAGTACTTCATTGCAACAGGTCACTGAGAAGCAAAGGATGTTAGCCCAAATATGACATAAATTAACCAAATTCTTTCTTTCATTCATCTAAAAGCTAGATTTATTAAATGAGGGGTAATATGTATACTATCCCCATCTTAAACAATAAAGGTGATGCTGAATAGTTTAACACATGCATTGACATGATTAATAGTTTACACATGAAATATTTATAAGGCAGAGTGCACAGTTGAAAGTAAAGATGGCATAAAATGAAAATAAAACTTACGTTTCCTTCCACCATTAAAAGAATCGGAAGCAGAATAATCGGTGTAATGATAATGATCAGAATTTTCCGAACACTGAGTACCAGATTAAGAAATGTCGACATGATTTCCTCGCATGCAACCTTCCTGATGCCATTCTTTCTTGTCGGTTGACCACCAAGTCCAGACTACTGAATCACTCTACCGAGCTAGCTACCTAGTCTGTCATATCGGTGTTTAGATTTTCAGAAATCCTTACTCGCCAAAGAGGATGTAACTTATCAGTTGTTGTTTTGGACGTTTGTTTTTGTAATTAAGTTGAGTCGCGGTGTCGTAGAGTCCCCATACACAAGGATGCTTAACTTAAATGGTCTGATAATAATCGGAGCACTTTATAATATATCATTCCGTACATGGTTCGTAAGTGATCCAACGTTTTTTACTTTAAATTGATGACGAATTTCTGTCATTCAAATATGTTTAAGGGGGCGAGATAACCGTAAAATTCGTGTAAATAGGTATACAACGTACATGAACATGCATCTATATAGAAAGAGGCAGATGCTGTCTAAACATATTTAATAGAACTCGTTAGGGGGATAACAGTGAACACCTTTGAGAACCTGAGTTCTAGCTAGGTTTTTTGTCTAGAGGAAAATTTCCGTGGGATTTATCCCATTTGAACAAATTAGGGGGAAAAAATCCCAGTACATCCCATCCGACGTGTACACCCCCCCCCCCACCCCCCGGGAGAAAGGTGAGCTATTTGTTAATCTAAACGAACGCCCATCTTTCCCATGGGACTCAGACATCTTTAAAAAGAGAGAGAGGGGGGAGGTTTGTGAATTCAACATCAGACCTTGTGATACTGCTAAAAAAGCACCAAGTGCTTAGATTTTTTTTTTTTGGAAGTCGAATTAGAAATGGTTCCAAATGGTCTAGACAATGCCGGGTATGGAATTAAATGTCGCACTGTCATATTGAAAAAAAAATAATAAAGCAATGTACTTGTACTTGTCATAAAGGTTGCATAAATAGATTTTTTTAATCCTCGTTGTAAGTATTTTCTGTAAAACGACGACCAAATATAAAATTTCAACACGAACATAATATCGTGCTAGTAATAAGCTGCCGACACTTTTTTTACTCTGAAAAATTGACTACACACAAAATGATGAACAAGAAATACTAAAGGTGAGAATTTTTGAATTTTGGTTTTTTTAAATTTTAATCTGATATTGCAGCGACAAAATTCGAAATTTCTCAAGCTCAGAAGGAAAATCTAGAGAGCGTAGATAATTGTAATATTCTTCACAAATACGGACAAAATATTTTTTATATAAAATACAAGTAAAAGATCGATGATACAGGTATCAACCCTAGGACTTCATACGCATATCTGGATTTGTATAGTTTTAACTAAATTTACATAGTGAGTTTGACCTGAACGTAAACTTATGTATAAAAAGTCTTTTTAAAAAGTATTTCACAGCAAATCTTAATTTTAATTCGCTTCACTCATTCACAAATTTCAGTGTATATTAAGCGTTCCGAATTTATTGCATAAAATACCAAACAAAAGCTTTTTCCCTTACAAAAAATGGTCTGTACGGCATGTCACACGTTGAAATATTCATTTTTTTCCATTTGTATTGTATAATTTTTCATTTGTATCTTACGTGTATAATTACAAATTCATATTCTATAATTTCCCATCTAAATTGTATAATTTTTCATTTGTATTGTATATAATTAATATTTGTTTTCTATAATTTTCCATTTTTATTTATAACTTTCCATTTGATTTGTATAATTTTTTATTTGTATTCTCTATTGTCCATTTCTATTGTAAAAAAAAAATCATTTGAATCGTATAATTTGTCTTCTACATCTGAAAATTAATAATGGAGAGGTCAAAAAGCTACATAATTGTAAAATGATTGTTAATATTGAAGCAGATTTTTAAAAGTTGGTGATATAATGTTGATAAAAATTAATGCGTTGAATTTGGCGGATATTTCCATTGTGACGTCATTTTCCTGTACGTTGAAATGAATTGTTTTGGGACATTGTAACTTACATGGATCATATGGACGTTTATATCTAATTTTGCAATTATATACTGCCTTCCGTTTCTCAAAGGTATATTGATTTCGTAAGTGTTAAAGTCCGATAACTTTGTAGAAATGTTTGAGAGGGGTGGGAAGTTTTAAATCTTTTGAAAAATCTGCATGCTTCAGTGAATATTCACCTGAATGGACAGATTGAATGATAGACGTCACAAGGTAAATATATACTCTGTACCTGATCATGAAGAAAAATAATAAACCGGACATGAGAAATCCAGGTACGTGGCAAAGCTATTTTCAATTTTTACACATTTTATTTCATTTTGTTGAGACTGACAGATTACCAGTTTATTTAAAATGTATGTACCCCTTACCCAAAGAGGGAAAAACAGATCTCTCTGTCTCATTTTTGTCATACTTTAAATATACTCCCGAGACCATTTAATTTAATGACTGAAAAAGTGGTTTGTTCACAACTGTCTTATCAGCCTATTCGAAAGACTTTAGTGGTAGTACGTACAAGTACGTATACATTAAGGTCTCCTATGAACTTGACTTACAATAGCCTCTTAAGATTTCTTCATGAACATTTTCCCTAGAGTGCTGATGGCTAATTAAAAAGATTTAACGTACTTAACAGTTTCATTGTTATTGTTGATATCCGTAGTTACATACGTTCATTAAACTTTTATTTATTCTATAAACAAGAAAAATTCGCTCATTTGCAAAAAAAGAAAGGATCATGCACGTGTATGTGATCTTTCATCATGGACCAGGGGTCATCATTATATATTAATGTATTTATCTGGCATTATTATTTTTTATTTGGTCATTTCATTTATATATACACTGTACATATGTATACATGTATGTCTCTCCGTTTTTCAATTTTTAACGTCATTACTTTCTCAGAAGCAAAGCATATGAGGAAAAGCACATGTATCCCAGAGAAATTGGAAAAATATAGACAATTACAAAAGAGATGATAAAATAGTGTTAATATCATTGTTTTTCATTGGGAAAAACGTTTAATAAATGTGTATTTAAACGACAAAAAATCGATACCTTTCACATCTGCTGCGGGAAAGTGTAATATTATTTTATCTCGATCGTCAGGTTTTTTTAATCTAGCTCACAAGAATATAGAGCTGAAAGCCAAAACAATATCTAATAGAATTGGGGGGGGGGGTTCAAAGTAACAGAAAATCACTAATATGTTGGGGGAAATCTACTACATTTATATGTACAATACGAACTTTTGATTGGGGAATCATGATGTATACAATGATTCATGGTATAATTCATTTGAAAGGGGAGGATGTCCTCCATATAATGTTGTTATTAATACACTTTGGTAAAGTTTACAATACGACAAAGGTTTATGATCGATTTAATGCGCTTCAAAACTCATACATGTATGTTTTTTTTATTTGAGTTAACTCAAAGAGGATATGATATGTCTTTGACATATGAAATGTCCATATGGACCAAATTCTGTTGATTTATCTAATTTTAGTTAATTCAGTTTCACATAGGTTTCTTTAAGTTTTATATACTCATTCTCTACAATCAAAATAGGGGTCGAAAGAAATAGGTACATGTACGGATTTATTAAAAAAAAACAACCCATTAACATACATGTACATTTTTACTTCTCAATAAAAATATCCTAAACTATTTTTTTAGATCTATTATTTCACTAGATATAAGTCCACTGAA